CCGCAGCTGGGATCGCAGTTGGGCTGGGACTTCAAGGACCCTGAGTTGGGGGGTCCTCCCCGGCCTAGGCCAGAGGCCAGGCAGCGTGGCACAGAGTGAGCGAAGCGGAGCTGCAGGCGATGCACAGGGGCCCCCTGCTCCGCTGCGAGCGGCGGGTGCTTGCAAGGCGGCGCGGAGGAGTTTATTTTTCTGCAGTAAACCAGGACCTGCCCCAGCCTGTTTATACGGCCCAGGGGCCTGTGTATTCCCCGCTTCCAATTCACGGGGGTGTGACGCGCGGCCCAGGAGCTCGCCGAGATGCCTGATGCTATCGTGGCCTCGCAGAGAAGCAGCCACCTGCTCTCCTTTCTCCATGGCCGGCTCCTTCCTCCGCCCGCACGCCTCGGTCCACCTGCCTCTGCCCTTCCCACCTTCCCTCCCCCTTCCCAGCTCACGGACCCACGAGAGCCAAGCAGACGTCGTCTCCCCATCCTCAGACGCCGCTTGCTCCCCGCACGTACCTTGTCCCCGTGCGACTCCTTGGGCCCCGCACCCCCACCCACACCCGTGTCCTGTTGCGGCACGTCCCCTCCGCACGGCACGTGTCTGATCGGCGTGGCGTGGCGTGGCGTGGCGTGGCGTGGCGTGGCGTGGCGTGGCGTGGGGATGGCCGGATGCAGCAGGCAGCCGATGCCGTGCCAAGTCTATCGTGTCTGCACGGCTACGTGATTGCCTCGACTTGTCATCTCATCCAAGAGTGAAATCAGGTGCATTGGACAAGACCTGTTTTCGACGGGATGCTGCTGGCGGGCGTTCCTCGCGGGCCTGCTGTCAAGTGACGTCTCCAGCGACTCCCTCATTAGCCTGCCAGGGGATGCCGGCTCTATTTTGTGACATGCTTGAGGTCTCCTCCCTGCAACCGGCAGGCACAAGTTGTGGAGGCCTACTGATTTAGCAATGTTTGTCCTCCTCGGCCCCTGGTGGGTTGGGAAAAATGAGCGGATGTTCGTGGCTGGGACTTATTCTCTGTTTGCTTTTACCGAGGTCACGGCCGCGGCCAGTCGGTGATGAACTCACCTTCTCCGAGGCCGCAGACAGCACTGCCGTGCGCTGGGGCGCAACAAAAATCAGCCGTCACTGAGAAACTCGACCCGTGTCTTGCTCCTGGCCCTTTGCGTGCTGTCGAGGTCCCTGTAGCGACAGCAACACAGACCGGCGCTGGAGCCGTGCCCTGCGAGCCACCCTGGTCAGTCCCTCTCCAGCGAGTGATGTGTCCTTCGTGCGGCTCCTCTCCCCCCGCCCCAAGCAAGTCGCAGCCGGTGATCGTAGCACCCTGGGCACGCAGCCTGGGGCAGTGGGTTTCCATCACGTCATCGGTGCAAATTCCCAGTCCCCCCCCGGCCTCTCAGCACATGAATTAACTGGGCGCCGAGTCTGGCTTTATCCTGGAGCGGCTGAAAGCCAGCCAGCAAGCTGGCTTGAGTTAAACGCCACCCTCCGCTTCCTCCTCCTCCCCATAATAACCCGACGTGGGTGGGACTGGAGGCCAGAGCAGCCCCGGGGCAATGCCTCAAGTTAACGTTACGGCCCGCACCAGCCCTCCCGGTTTGTACAGCTCCGAGCGCAACGTGGGCCTGTCTCGGTCGGCCGCTCGGCACTGCCGCAGCGCACGAGTAGTTTCTCAGCCTGTCTGATGGGAGCGGGGGCAGCCCCCAGCTGCCTCCTGACTCAGAGCGAGATGAAAGACAGGAGTGACGGCGTTTGGGCCGAGCCGCAGGATGCTGGGGAGGCCTGGCGTGCATCGAGAGGGGCTCCCAGAGGGAAGCTCACTGACAATGCGTCTGCTGTGGCGTGGTTGGACTGGCCACTTGGCAGGTGGTGCTGGTTATAAGAAGTCTGGCAGAGTGCCGGGGCCATTTCTAGTGCGCCGGGCTGTTGCAATGCTGCGCCGTGTTATGCAAGAGCGGAGACACGCTGTGAAACGGGGCAGGCACCGTGCAAGCAGTCGCCCCTTCCCCAGGCATGCAAGCGGCCCGTGCTGCCCACGTGCTGCTCGCAGCCTGGCCACCGAGGGCAGGGCCCGGGCTCCCAGGCCGCGTGCCCTGCACGGTGCTGCCAACTCCCAAGTGCCCACGCAGGGTGCAGCCCCGCTGTGCTGACGCAGGGGCCCGGTGACCAGCCGGACGCACCGTGGGCTTAGCCACGGGCTCGCCAAGCTCCACTACCAGCCCCGGCTCCGAGGGGGCTCGGGCATCCCGAAGTTGGCTCTGCTGGCACAGGGCCGGGGGCGAGGCAAACGCCGTGGAGGCAGAGCACGTGCCAGTGACGGGGGCTGAAACCACGAGCCCGAGGGGGTGCAGCTGGAGACGCTCCAGCCCTGGGCACTGCCCTGCGGGGAGCCGGGTGTTTCCTTGCACGGACCACAGGACACGCGTGTGCAGCCGAGCACACACCAGGACCTGATGGAGCCGGGGGCGCTGGGCAGGTGAGAGCGGCTTCTCTTCTCCGCTTCCTCGAGGGCAAGGGAGAACAGATGGTTACTTGAGCCGGGCCCCGCTCCGACTCGGCCAAGCCCTTCCCTTGGCGCGGAGAAAACACAACACGGAGGGGAAGTCAGACACGCCGGAGCCGGCGATGAACCCTGGTGGGAGCCCAGGCACCGCAAGCAGCAAGCGGACCCGACAGCTGCCACCGCCGCACTCAGCTCTGGCAGCGTCCGAGGCCCCGCGCGCCCCCGAGGACAAGCGCAGCCCGAAGTCGAGTGCATCAGACGCCAAACGCCCACATTGCACCTGTGCGTGCGTAGGCTGGAGCAGGAGTAAATCCCCTGTCTCCACGGTTGGCTGAGAGGAAAACTTTCCCTGGATGGGAGAGAGCGCTGTGTTGTCTGACATGCAGCAGGCACGGAGTCAAGTCTGGCCGCGGCGCTGTTGGAAGGAGATCTGCAAAACGGCCTGACTCATTAACTGCACCGCAAGTCCTCTGCGCGCTGAGGTTTTTCCCGGGTCCCAGCTTTCCCCCTTTACCCCATCTGGTGCCTAGAGCCCGGCTGCGGCTCCTGGCTCCCGAAAGAAGGGTTTGGAGCTGGTATGTGCACAGGCACGGGAGGAACCTGGAGTTGGCCTCTGCACTTCTGCCCTCTCCTCCCCGCGCCCCTTGGCATCCATCCCATCCCATCCCATCCCATCCCATCCCATGTGCTGCTAGAGACCTCTGCCAGAAGCATCAGCTGCCTCTGTGCTCTCACTGCCTCTCAACTTGGCTGGGCGATGGGGCGGCCCAACCAGCTTGGCTGCAGCTTACATGCAGAGCTGGGAGCTGGTGCGGAGCAAAGGAAGTTTCCAGCCCCGGCAGGACGACAGCTTCCTGCAGGACAAGCCAAGGGGATGCACAGATAAGCCCAGGCCTCGGGCGGGTGCAGCGTGCGATAGCCTTAACAAAGCAGGCAGACGTGCCTTGGCTCCGAGCGCTGCTCCCCGACAGGAACCCGCTGTCAGCGCCGGCAGCCCCAAAGTTGGGCTCCAGGAAGAGCCGGGGGGGACGGCTCTGCCCGAGCTCCCACGAGCTGCTCTCCATCGGTCTCCCTTGGCCCGGGCGGCAGGGCAGAGCGGCCGGCAGCTCCGTGCATGCAAAAATGGTCCCTGGTTCTGCCTTTGCAGAGTCCAGCTAAGCAATTGCCTGCCCCTTTGCCAAAAAAACTAAGGGCCGCGGGCACCGGGGTCCATATTCCTGTCTGGAGGGGATCCGGGAAGCCGAGGTCCAGACCCTTGGCAAGTGACTCAGGCCGAGCAAGCAAGTGGCCCCAGGGAAGTGCTGTAAGCATGGCCCCCTTTCTCCCCGGGCTCTGCTGGGCTGCGGGCACCAGGGGAGGCAGAGGACCGTCGGGAAGCCCCCGCGCCTCTGCTCCACGGGCTGACGGCCGTCCCGGGCCCGGTGCTTCCTCGGGAGCCAGCGAGCACCAATGTGCGGGAGCAAGTCCTGGGCGTGGAGCTCAAGGGGAGGCACGCTGGGCCCCAGGCTGTTGCAAGGGCTTTCGCTGCCACTTCCCAGAGCTCTGGGTGTCGTTTCCAGCCTCCCTGGGGCACTGCCACGCGCCGATGCCTCACGAACAGCCTCGCACGGCGCTGGGCTGCACAGGTGAGATCTACTGGGCACACGGGTCGGCTCCCGGGACGGAGCCAGAACGGCCCGCTGCGTGCCAGGACTTACGATGGGGAGAAGGAGGGAGCAAGCCCCAGCCCTGTTTTCTCGCCCTATAACTTTGCAGCCCTGTGGGTGAAATTTAAAGCCTGGTCCAGACGATGCCCCTGCAGCGCTCCCTTGAGAGCCGCCTCCGGGCAGGATCCGAGAAGTCGGAAGTGCGGCCCCCAGAAGCCGCGGGCCAGACCTTTTGTTCCCAAAACCTGGCGCCTCGCAGGCCAGAGCTGCACGAGAGCCCGGCCTGGTCGGTCTCGCCCGGCTCCGAGCGCCGTGGGAGCCCTGCAGCGGGTGTGGAGACGGGCGCGCGGATACGTGGTGCGAACTGCATCACGGTTTGATCTGCCGACTGAACCACAGGGGCTGCTTGGCAGAGGGATGGAGGTGGAGTCATACATCTCCACTTACTTATATAGATATAGGAATAAATATTTTTGCACAAAAAAAGCCCAACTCCTATGGGAGGCCTGCTGTGCTCAGCTCCCCACGCAGGAAACGTGGAGCTGCTGGAAGTATGCATGCCCCACGGTGCTTGCGGGGGGGGAGCGGTTTGCTGTGGCACTGGGGGCAGCTTCTGAGGGGCTTTCTGAAGCAGGGCAGGGGGCTTCGAGGCCTCCTCCGCTGCATGGGGGCACAGTGGATGCCCACCAAGGAGGGGGTCGCTGTTCTGGTTGAACCGGGACTGCCTGCAGCGACGGCCTCCGCGCAAGGGGCAGAAACAGGGCAAAGCCCAGCGTCCCTCCAAGCCTGCTGACAGCCTGCACGGCGGGAGGAGCGAGAAGTGGGAGTGGTGGAGGCAGCTGCCTGGTTCAGCGAGTGCAGCCGGAGCCAGAGGCAGCGAGGGAAGTGCTGGCGCGGCAGCGTGTCTGGAGCACCTCTCCTGCCATGGCCAGTAAGTCCCGGGGGCGCCCCCCAGCACCCCCTGCCCTGCCGGGTCCCTCTCAGGACTCGCCTGCCAACGTGCTTCCTTTGCCTTGCAGAGCCGAGTCTCCCCGTCTCACTGGCGACGATGCTGAGCGTGTGCCTGGCCCTGGGGAGCCCCAGCACAGGTACCCTGCCCCGGGGGGCCTCTTCCCTGCGCCAAGGGAGACCCCCGCGCGGTGCCAGCGGCCCCTTCGGTCCCTCCGGCGGGGGTCGGGGCTGGGGTCTGCAGGCGATGCAGGGCCCGGAGCGGGCGCGTGGCTCTGCTGCCCGGGGGGAGGTTATCCCAAAGGGGCTCCCTGGTGAAGCGTGTGGGGTTATTCTGGTTTGCCGAGTCCCTACGGTGAGCGGCCGGACCTGCGCGGGGCACCAGAAGCACCGGGTCCGAGGTGGCTGGTGCCGGCGTCGGACACAGGCCTTGCAGGGTCAAACACTTCCATCCCAGCCTTTTCGGCAGCGTTTTCTTTTGCCTCGTGCCCCGGGTGCAAGTTTCTGAGCTCCCCGTGCGCTGCCAGGGCCGCGAGAGCTGGCAGGTGGCTGGCAGGGCGATCTCTCCCCGACGGGACCCCGAGCGCCGGGGTGCTGGCCCTGGGGAAAGGGTCTCCCCTGCGCACCGTCTGGGAACAGCCCGGCCGCGCTCCTGGCCAGGGTGAGAGGTTGAGGCACTGCCTCCCCCGGAGCCAGGCTGTTTGGAGGAGCTTTGCAGCACTTGGCAGCACCCCGCCAGGCCAGGGCTGCACGGACACGTCCAAAGAAAACAGCAAGCAGCAATCTTAGATCGAAGGGAAGGGCAGGGACGTCTCCGCGGGCTCGCTCTAGCCAAGGAGACGCGTCTGCCAAAGGTGCTGCGCCGGGCTTCGACAGGAGGCAGCAAGGCCTCGGCACAAGGCGGACGCGCCGGCCAGGGCCTAGCCCCGGGCGCTCGCCGCGTCCTCCCCTGGCGCGCTCAGGCTGGGCGCCGGTGCACATGGCTCCTGCCCCGGCGGCATTTTTCTCTGGAGCCCGGTATCAGCAAGGAAGTTGGTTTCTACGCAGATAAGCGCCGCGGTGCCCGAGCCGCTGTCGAACGAAGGAAGCCTCTGGCCCTTTCTGCTGCGTGACGGCCAAGGGTGGGTCTCACGGCTGCAGGCGCTGTTTGGGGTGTTGCACGACGTGAAGGACATGCTCACGCAGCCCCGTCGGAGGCGCCCGAAGTGGAATTTCCCTTGGCAGCTCCGCGGGGACGGGCCGTGCCAGGAGGGAATTGCTTCTCCGCCGTTCTCACGCACAGCACCCTGCACGGCCCGGGCCCGGGGCTGGTCTCCAGAGGAAGCAGCGGAGCGGGAGGGATGTTTGTCTGACCGCGGCCCAGCCGACGGCCCGGGTGCTTGGCATTCTTTCCTTCCTCCTTTCCTGGCCCGCGGGGCTCGGGGGCGGCCTGTGCGTGTGTGCGAGATGCAGCGCTTCGCCTCCCAGCTGCAGGACCCGGGCTGAACCCGGGCACCGGGGCGCTCCTGAATGCTGCAGAAGTCCGGGTCTGCATTTGTACCTGCTGCACGCCGCGGCGGGGCTTCGTGTGGAGCAGACACGACGCCGGCTCCGTCGCCAGCGCCAGGCAGGCAGCAGAGTTGGGGCGAACCCGGCTGCAATGCACCTGCAGCGTCCCGGGGACACGTCGCCGAGGCCGGGAGCTCCTGGGGCCAGGCAGACTCGCCCAAGGAGCAAAGCAAACATGCCCTGAACTCATCGGGCCGCTGTGTCCGGCCGCAGCGGGCTCCCGGGCGGCATGGGAGGGCTTTGCCAGGCCGGCCGTGCTGGTGTGCATGCTGCTGGGACTAAGGAGGATGTCGGGAGCCGTTCGCCCTCGTTGAGAAATAACAATTTGCCAAGTGGAAACATCCTGCTGCGGGAGGTAGGCACGGTCGAGAGGGGAAGCCAGGCTGGGATCGCGTGGCTCCGGCCCCCGGCAGCCTGCTGGCACCTTTGCTCACCGGGAACGTGCGGCCGTCTCCACCCCGAGGAGAGGCCAGAGGCGGAGGGGAGCAGCTCAGGTGATGAGCAGCTCTGGACCTAGAAGCAAACTCCCCCCAGTGCAAGGGGGCTCTCCCTGGGCGCTGCAGCGCGTGGCAGGGGAGAGGCACCGTTGTGGCACAGGTGCACTGGCAGAGCGGGGAGGAAAAGCCTCTTAATGCTGGGAGCAGCTTCCCCCTCCGGCACCAGCCGCCGGGGGCTTTTGCAGATGGGATGTCCAGAGCACGTGGCCCTGCGGAGACTTCCTCATAGCCCTGGGAAGACGCCGCGTGGACGTGAGAACTTCCCCTCTGCGACAAAACCCTGGGGCTAAGACATGCCCGTTCCCTCGGCCGGCCCTCACATGCCAGCTCCGCGCTGGGGGAAGAAACGAGCCTGCCTGTGCCCCAGCGCCAAGTTGCGGCGGCCCAGTGCCCTGCTTCCCGCTTGCACCCACCGCTCTCCAGCACGGCCAGAGCCAGGAGGGGAAGCAAAGGGCTGCAGGCACTGGAGGGAGGAGACGGAAGCTCCCTTCCCCGGGGCTTTGCTGGGAAAATCCTGCATGTGGCTCCCACCTGGACCAACCGGCAAGAAGCCAAAAGGCCGAGTCTCTGACTGGCGGGGACATGCCCAGGCCTCGCTCCCCTCCTTAGCACCCTGCACGGGAGCAACGCCTGGCTGCTGCGCCCCCGTCTCCGCCGCCCCCGCCACGCTCCCTGGATCGCGCACGCGCGCCGCGGCCCCGGGCCCGCTCGCTTCCTCGTGCAGAGCACGAATGCCAGCGACATCTGTCCTGCAGCTGGAGACCTGGCACGGCTACAAAGCAGCTGCTGCGCAGGGTGGAGTCTGTCCCCTCAGTGCCGAACAAGCTGCCCCCATCTCGGTCCCCAGACGAGGCAGTGGCGTGCAGGACAGGCCCTGTTACATCCGCCAGGTCTGGGCTGCAGAGGACCTGCCCCTCGCGTGGCAAGGGCTGGGGCTGGCCAAACCCAGGTGATTTGCCTTGAAAATTCATAACCAAATGCTCTGGACTGGCTGACGCACCCAGCTTCCCGCTTGCCTGGGCAAGGTGAGCGTGGCCTGCTGCAGCGGAGCAGGCCCCCCATGCACAACAGTCCCCTATTGTGCAAGCCCCTGGGATTTGCATAACTTGCTGGTGACTCGCAGCTTGGCACCGTCTCCTTCCTCCCCTGACATGCTCAAGGCGCCTCGGAGGATGACCCCAGCAGGGCACTGCTCTCCCAAGCACCGCAGCAGTCTCACCTCTGCCCTCCTCTCCTCCGTGTTTGTCCAGCCTAAGCCTCCAGGAATGCGCCGGGCTTTTATGGGCTTGTAAAAGCCAGAGGGTCCCACTGAGACGCCCCAGCTGCGCGGATCCCGGCCACGCTCCACGTGGGCCCCATGGAGCCAGGCTGCTCGCCTGGAGGGAGCGGCTCCAGCTCCCGAGCCTGGCTGCCCGCTGCCTCCGTGTGCGGTCCCCACGCCCATCACTGCCTCCACTGTCCTGGGGCCACGTGGGTGCCACCGCGGACCGCGAAGCTGGAGCAGCACGTGCGCCTGGGCCCGGGTGTCCCTGGAGCGGCGTCCCCGCTGACCACCCGCACCTCGCGTCTCCTCCGCAGCCCCGTGTGCCTCTGCCCCCCGGGCACTGCTGACCAGCCGCAGGATCTTTGCACGGAGCGCGGGGGGCCGGGCTGCACGTGGCCTCCTTCCCGGCTCGCGTGGAGTATCTGGGGCAGAGTCAGGGGCATTTACTGGGCCAAGGGGGCATCTCGTTTGGTCTCAGCTGGGGTTTGGGCTTGCAGGAGCCCCTGCCTGCACGGCCGGTAGCGCCAAGGACGCGACATCCCCGATCTCCGCAGAGGGGGTGGGAACCGGGCAGACTCCCCGTTGCTCCCAGGCCATTCCCAGTCGGAAACCCCGACCGGAGTAGGTGGCAGTGCCAAGGTGCAGCCTTCAGCCCTGGCAGGCTGTGTGGAAACCTCTTCGATGGCATCAGCGGTGCGGAGCCATTTCCTTTGCTAAATGCCTCCTATTGCAGACAGCCTGGTAGTCTGTATGGCAGCAAGGGACAGCTTTGCCCTTCTGGCCAGCATCCCCCTTTCAGGTGGGCACAGGGTCCCCTCTGGGCATGCCTAGCTACCTCCCAGGGACTGCAGTCAGCTAAAACAGCACACTGCGGGCACAAAGTTTGGAGGGAGGTGACAGAAACAGGTGAAACACGGCACTTGGCATCCTTTAGCGGGGAGCCCTCTGCTCCTTGGCTTGCTCGACACCCCCACGGCCCGCCCGCTGCCAGCTCCCGGGTTGCACTTGGCACGAGGACAGATGGAAAAAGCATCTCATCCCTGCCACAGGCTCTGGGTCATCTCAGCTTCCCCCTTCCCAGAGCCACTGCGAACGTGCACCGAGCCCCACGTCATCCCACCTCTGCCTGGCCCACACGGCTGGGCCGGAGGAGCTGCTGGCTGGGGGGGGCCGCGGGTGCGATCACCAACCTCTCTCTGTCGTCTGCAGTGGATCCCTGCTGCTACTTCCCCTGCCAGCACCAAGGCGTGTGCGTGCGGGTTGGCCTGGAGGGCTACGAGTGTGACTGCACGCGGACCGGGTACTTCGGGACCAACTGCACCCTGCGTAAGTCCCCTCCCCGCTGGGCACGGAGCGAGGGCTGGGGGGCTGGGGGAGACGCCGCGGCCCGCGGGGAAGCTCCGTAGGTCTGCCCGCGGCGGTGGTCTCAGCCACGTCAGGAGCATCGCGCCATCCCCGCGTGCTCGAGTGGGGCTTCGTGGTCCAGCAGCGCGTGAGGGCTCGTGGCCCGGGTGTCGCCGTGACGGGACCGGGACCGGGACTGGGACCGGGGCGCGCTGCTCTACCTCTCGCCCGCCTCACCCTGGTCCGTGTCTCCGCAGCCGAGTTCTGGACGCGCATCCACAAGCTGCTGAAGCCCAGCCCGGCTTTCTACCACTTCGTGCTGACCCACTTCAAGTGGTTCTGGGACATCATCAACAGCACCTTCGTCAGGGACACGCTGATGACGCTGGTGCTGAAAAGTGAGGCTGGGGCTCGTGGCGCTGGTGGGGTCCAGGGGCTGGGGAGTCGGGACTCCCGGGCGCCACGCACAGCTCTGGGAGGGACGCGGGGCCTGATGGGTTGAGCAGGGGGCTGGGAGCGTTTGGTTTGCAGCTTGCATGGACATCTGCATCGTCTCTAGGCCTGCTGACAGCTGGGTGCTCATAGCAGCCTTCACGACTGCCCGGCTGGAGGCTTCCAGCCAGCATTTGCAAAGCGCTGGGAGAGGCTGGGGGCTGCAGTAAGGGGCGCTTCCCCCCGCCAGGTCCAGGCCAGGAGTCCCAAGGAGGCCGCAGGTTGCAGCAGGGAGCGCGGGACCGAGCTGGCTGCAGGCTGCGGGACAGGCGGGCACGGGCAGGGCGGAGGAGCAGGGACCGCCGCTCGGATGCTGCAGCTCTCGGGTGGTCAGCGGCGTCCACGCTGGCCTGGGGCAATGAGGGGTGGAGGAGGGCAGCTCCGGAGACAGCTCCAGCTGCACGGCTCCATCACTGTTTATCCTCTCGCATAAATATTTGTGCGAGGCTCCCTGCAGCTTGCGTCCGAGCCGTGGCAGGCGGGTCCCGGGCTGCTGCCCTCCTGCCCCCCTCGCTCGCTCCTGCCAGGAGCATGGCAGCGGGACGAGGGCTGTCCTCAGGCAACTCTGCCGCCAGCCCCCCTCCGTGCTGCCCTGCAGCCCCAGGCTCTCGCACCCCCACCGCCCCCACAGGCCCGTGGCATCCAGGCCTCCCTAGGCACCGAGTGCCCGCGAGGGAGGCCAAGCTGAGCCCCAGAGCAGGGAGCCAGGCGGGGAGCTGCCAGACGTCTGCAGACCTCCTGGGCTGCTTATCAGGCCCAAATCTAGATCTCCCTGGTCAAAGCAAGCAGCGTGGGAGCCTTTCCCCCTTGTTGCATGGCCAGGACCTGAGTGCAGGGGTCTGTCCAGCCCACCCCAGGCCACGGCCCTGCGCCTTGCACTCGGGGAGCAGTGACAGAGCCCTGGCGCAGCGGTCCCGCTCCCGGGGCCGTGCGCTCGCTGCCCCCCTCAAGCAGCTGGCACCGGGACCCCCAGCCGCAGGGTGACCTCCTGCTGTCCCCTTTCAGTCCGGGCCAACCTGATCCCCAGCCTCCCCACCTACAACTCGGACTACGGCTACATCAGCTGGGAAGCCTATGCCAACATGAGCTACTTCACCCGCATCCTGCCGCCGGTGCCCGATGACTGCCCGATGCCCATGGGAACCAAAGGTACGTGCCCGCCTGAGCGGGGAGCGGGCTGGCAAAGGGCAGCTGGAGGCCCGTTGCACCCCCCCCCGTCCTGCCCCGCTTACTCTCTCTTCCAGCATCCGTGTCAAGCCCTCCCGTGACACAGGGTGTGGGCAAGACAGACCTAGAGTCTGACCCAGTCCGTGGCAGTGCTCGTGACCGGCGACCCCGAGGGTCGCGGCACTGGGGTCTGTTGCAAATTCCCTGCCCCGATGGCCCCGTGCAGTGAGAAGCGCGACCCCGGAGCAGGGAGCCCTGTGACCGCTCGTAACGGAGGCAGCGAGGGGAGGCACAGCTCTGTTAATCCCCCTCTCTGGGGACCAGGCGGCTCCCACACTCACGCTCCTCGTCAAGGGCTGCGCACGAGGGTGAACCCACAAAGCCGGCAGCAGGGCCCTAACCCCGATGTCTGAACAGCCACAGCTCTGGGCCAAGTTTAGTGCAGTGGTACGTGTCAGCAGGCCAGGGAAGTACTTGCCGGGCTGCACCTGCATTGCCCGGGGCACGGGATGTTGGCGGGCGCAGATCCCATGCATGCAACACGCGACCAGCCCTCCGCAGGAATCTGGCGGCTTCGGCTCCATGGGTTAAAGCCCTGCTCATCGGTCAATACAGCCATTGTATGTTGATTGACGGATAAATGCCGCCTTTACCCCAGATTTGATAACAGCCTTCATTCCCCGGGAGGGCGCACTTAGGCTGTATGTGTGTGCGGAAACAGATCTAGAGCGCGATGCGCCTGGGATTCCTGTGCCACGTTTACATCGGGTTTACATCTCTGGCATGCGAGATGGCTGTGAGCAACCTACCGCTTCCTTGCGAGATAAGCACCTGTTGGCTCGCGGTTTGAGTCAGGCCCTTACGCAAGGCTGGCACCTGGCATTCAGTCCCACCAGCAAAGCAGCACAGAGGGAGTTTAAAGCATCGCCTTGGCCCTCAGGTGCTTCTCCGGGCTGTTTCTTTACATGCAAAAGCACTGGGCTGAGCCTCAGCGTGTTGGCGAGCGGCTCTCAGGTTGCTACGCTCCACATGCCCGTGCTCCTCATGGAAGTGCTTTAGGAGATTACCACGTGCTGAGGCCTTCACTTGACCTGAGCTAAATTCAGATTCTGCTACAGGAGCAGGTTTGCTTTCCAACAAAGGCAGTACGAGCTACGTGGCAAAATCCAGCCCATGCAACAAGAACCCAGCGTCCCGCAGCCCGGGCTGCAGCCGCGCGGCACTGCCCGGGGTGTTGACGGCCCTGCCTCTGGTTCCCTCCTCTGCAGGGAAGAAGGAGCTTCCTGACCCCCAGCTCCTGGCCGAGAGGTTCCTGCTCCGACGGACGTTTGAGAAGGACCCGCAGGGCACCAACCTGATGTTCGCCTTCTTCGCCCAGCACTTCACTCACCAGTTCTTCAAGACGTCCGGGAAGATGGGACACGGCTTCACCAAGGCTCTGGGCCACGGGGTACGGACGCGGCCCTCGGCTTTCTTGCCCGCTGCCCTTGGAGTCATGCCGGACGGACGCCAGGCTCCCGGGCTGCCCCAACTCGCTGCCCGGCTCAGCCCTGGAGACTGAGATCGTGTCTGGGCAGCTGCTGCCTCTGGAGAGTGGCGGCTGCGGGTACCTATTCAGACAGAGGGAAGAGAGAAGCCCCCAAGCTGCCCACCCCCGGGGCAGTGCCTGCAGGCTGGCCAGGGCTGGGGACCAGGCCGACGTGCCTGCTGCCAGCAGGGCATGCAGCCGGGTCACGCCGCCCTCTCTTTGCAGGTGGATCTCGGGCACTTGTACGGGGACAACCTGGAGCGTCAGCACCATCTGCGGCTCTTCAGAGACGGGAAGCTCAAGTACCAGGTTCGCTGCTCTCTGCTGTAGGATGCAACGAGCCCCGTGCTCGGGCACAGCTGTGTCAGCACCAGCACCCTCCTCCCCTGGGTAGCCCTGGGGCCACAACCTTTCCGCTCCCCCAGGTGCCCGGGCCTTGGTTGAGGCTTGCTGCCCACGTGCACTCGGACGGCCTGTTTGCACCAGGCCAGGCTGCGTCCCCCTGGGTCCCGGGCAGGGGGGCTGGCCATGCGGGGGTCAGGGCAGGCAGTTCGGCGCCTCGCTGCCAGCCCGTGCTCGCCCCACAGGTGGTGGACGGGGAGGTGTACCCCCCCACGGTGCTCGAGGCGCCGGTGCACATGATCTACCCCAACGGCACCGGCCAGGAGAAGCAGCTGGCCGTGGGCCAGGAGGTGTTTGGGCTGCTGCCCGGGCTGATGATGTACGCGACCCTCTGGCTCCGCGAGCACAACCGCGTCTGCGACCTGCTGAAGCAGGAGCACCCGACGTGGGGCGACGAGCAGCTCTTCCAGACGACCCGGCTCATCCTCATCGGTGAGCGCCAGAGGGGCTGGGCTGGCAGGGCCGGGTAGGCACCTGTGCCCCAGCCCCATGCTCCTCGCTGCTGGCACGTGGCTATCTTATTTAGCTGGTGCATGCCACACGGCTCCCCTCCCCACGCGCCACCTGCGCCCGCGGCCCGCGTACCAGCCACGACCATGTGCCCTGCTGCCCGGACCCCGCTGCCAGCTGCTCACCCCGCTCCCTTGGCTCCTTTCTGCTCCCACCCAGGGGAGACCATCAAGATCGTCATCGAGGACTACGTGCAGCACCTGAGCGGGTACTTCCTGCGCCTGAAGTTCGACCCCGAGCTGCTGTTCGGGGTGCAGTTCCAGTACCGCAACCGCATCGCCGTGGAGTTCAACCAGCTCTACCACTGGCACGCGCTCATGCCGGACGCCTTCGTCATCCAGGGGCAGGAGTACAGCTACCAGCAGTTCATCTACAACACCACCATGCTCATGGACTACGGCATCGAGGGCCTGGTCGAGGCCTTCTCCAAGCAGAACGCCGGACGGGTAGGCTGGCGTGCGGGGGCGTTGCGGGAGGATGGCGGGGCTGGCTGCGTGCCTGGGTCCGGGCACCCTGCAGACAGACCTGCCAGGTGGGAGGAGGGCACTTGGGGGCAGGACCTGGTTTCCAGATGCCCCAACGCCTCTGTGGGGCAGGACCCCACCCCAGGTGGTGCAGTGTCCAGGGCCCTGGCAGCTCTCCGGGCAGCACCGTATATATCGGGGGTATGGCTGTAACCCAGGCGGTGCTGGCCATTCCCAGCCTTATGCCCCAGGGCACTTGAGAGGCCCGTGCTGGGTGCCTGGGGCGGCCGCCTGGCTCATCCTGCACCTTCCGCTGCCACCCGGCGGTTGTTCTCATGCCTTTGGGCCCCGTCTTTCCTCCTACCCTTGCCTTTGGGAGCCCTGTCCCCCACTCGCTTTGCTGCTCTCTCCGAGTGCCTAGCTCACTTGCTCTGCCTGGAAAGAAAGGGCCCCCCTCTCAGGGGTTGGTTATTGCACCACTATGGTTGGGCACAGGCGTGCAGCTGGCTCCAAGCCCTGCTGGGGCAAGCCTGTGGCCCCGGGGCACTAGCCATCCCCAGGTCCCTGGCACGAGGCAGTGAAAAGCGCCAGGCCGAGACGTCCCATGCAGCATGCCCAGGAGCAGGGCTTAGTGGGGACGGGACCTCTTGGCATGCGCTCTCTCCCTCCTTCCTGCCCGTCAGATTGGCGGGGGACAGTCCATCAACAGCAACCTCCTGAAAGTAGCCATCGGGCTCATCAAGGAGTCCCGGCAGCTGCGGCTGCAGCCCTTCAATGAGTACCGCAAGAGGTTTGGCATGAGGCCCTACACGTCCTTCCAGGAGCTGACAGGTAGGAGCCAGCCCTGCCTGCTGTGGGGGGGCTCCCCCACAGCCCGGAGCGCTGCAGCCGCTGCAGTGGGGCTTCAGCTCCGGGCAATTCGTCCCCAAATGCCCCTTTCACCCCGGTGCAGGAGAGGAGGAGAAAGCGGCGCAGCTGGAGGAGCTGTACGGCGACATCAATGCCCTGGAGTTCTACCCGGGGCTGCTGCTGGAGAAGCCGCAAGCCAACGCCATCTTTGGGGAGAGCATGGTGGAGATCGGGGCCCCCTTCTCCCTCAAGGGGCTGCTGGGGAACCCCATCTGCTCCCCCGAGTACTGGAAGCCCAGCACCTTCGGCGGCGCCACCGGCTTCGCGCTGGTGCAGACAGCATCGCTCCAGAAGCTCGTGTGCAACAACGTGCGACGGTGCCCTTACGTGTCCTTCCGCGTGCCGGACCCCAGCCCGGAGCCAGCTGAGCACAGCGCGGCCCAGCCCTCCACAGAGCTCTAGCAGTGCCACCGCGGGGAGACAGCACTGCGTCGGGGCCCGAGGCCACGTCAGCTACCGCCGCCCAGCCAGCGAGCTCTAGTGCTCCCCGCTGCAGCCAGACCCATGCCGAGGAGGGGACAGTAGTCCTGACCCGTGTCTCGGGTGTTCTCCACACCAGCTGCAGGGGCCGAATGGGAGAGGCTGGGAACTGGCTTGCGGATGCGTCCGTCGCAGCTCCTGGGATATGTCTGCACGCTACTGCTGCAACAAGTAGAAATCAGGCTGCTGGTAGGCATCGAGCATCACCTACCCTGCAGCCCAGCCTGCCGCATGCTGTATGCTGGGCACCGTGGTGCTTCCCCTCTCGTTTCTGGGTCCCCTGCCCGGGCCTGCTGAGTAGGTGCCTGAGGTCTCCCAGAGGAAATGAGGGACATTTCCTGTTCTGCACCTGCCGGGATATTCCTTCCCGGAGGAGAGAGGTATGGTTACCGTGGCCCACCTACAGCACTGCGCTGCTCACCAGCCCTTGGCACTGACCTGCCCTGGGCTCTCAACCCAGCGCCTCCCCCATCCCCTTTCTTGTGTGGGTCCCATCCTGGGGCTGCCGGGCAGGTGCTGAGGCAAAGGGGGGCTGGTTTGCTTGGGGTTGGTGGCTGCTCTGCACATTGTGAGAGTGTTTTGTTCCATGCCGGTAAAGGAGGCACCAAGTTCATCTCACAGCAGGTGGAAAACAGGAAACCTCCCACACTTCCTCCAGGAGCTCTCAGGCGCCAACTCAGCAGGTCCCGAGCAGGGGACCTAGAAGCAAGAGGGGAAATGACCTGGTGGCCAGCATACAGCACATAGCAGAGTGGGCCAAGGGGCCGGCGATGCTCAGCAGCCTAACCGCAGCCTCTCCTCTGCCCATCCCAGCATGGACGTGTCCCAGGAGCTACGACGGGCCTGTCCACGAGTCTGCTCCCAGCATCTCACCCTATTTGCTGCCTCTGCTATCACACTGGGTTTCCCTGCCGCAGCCCCAGCTCTGTGGGCTGCAGGGCTTCCCAGGGTGCAGAGCCCCCAGGCAGAGCAGGGACCGGCCCTGCACTGTGCAGCCTGTGCTGAAGTCCCAGCTGCATAAAAAATTCAGTCCTGCCCTTCAGAGGACCAGGGAATCGGGGTGGGGGGGGAGAGTAATTGAAAGTGCCAGGTGCCGATTCCAAGGTGCCTGCACTGCTACATGGTGCCAATCTGTGCTGGAAAACCTGAGCACTGGTCACTGCCATGGGCAGGCACGTCACCCCCAGTGAGAGCCCACACTGGGGGGGTCATCCCATCTCCCCCTCTCCATTGCAATAGGAGTTATCCCACCTGGAATCAAGCTGAGTGGGATTGTTTGCCGGCAGCCTCTCCACAGCCTTCACAGCCCCCCAGGAATGGGACTTTGCAGTACGAAAGGTGAAGCCGCAGTCTTGGAACTGGCTCCCATTTATTCTCTGAGCCAAGAACATCCCAGCACCCGTTGCAGTCCGTGACTGTGATGATGCCTCCACACCAGGGCGTCTCTCAGCATCAGAGCAGGCACTGCCGCTGCTTCCTTGCTGCCCGTGGCTTGGTGAGCTGTGCTGGGGCTTGGTGGATGAGGCAGCAGGGAGATGCCAGGAGGGAGCGTCTCAGCAGCTAGGCAGGGTGAAGGAGCAGCAGGAAGGAGAACAGGCCACGGCCAGTGGCAAGGAAGTTTTGACCCACTGCAGCCTGTGGACCCTCCAGGCCGGCAGCTGTTCCCAGCTATGCTTTGCTAGAGTCAGCTGCAGTTTTGTTCTCTACCTGTCTGGAGCAGGCCCGTGTTGCTCTGGTCACAGATAACTCCTGGGCCCTGCGAGAGAGACAGCATTGCATCATGGAGGCCACATAGGCAGGCAATGTGCAAGACGCCGGGGGTGCAAGGCTCAGCACCAGCATCTTGGAAGCTGCACGGCAAGGACTCACTTCTGCCCCCACTGCAGTGCACTTGTGGTGGTGGCAGAAGCGCTCACATACCGGGGTCCAGTGATGCAGCAGGCAGCTGGGATGCTGCCTCTGGCAGGGGTGGCTCAGAGGCATTTGATGCAGCACCTGCAGCCGAGCGCACCTCTGCCGGGCAGAGGCAGATATCGATGGTAACGGCCAGCACAGCACCAGCCTGCTCCCTGGGAGGGAGGCACTCAGACGTCTCAGGCTGGTAGAGGTGCAGAGTGGTGCAGATGTGTGGGGGAGCTGGTGAAGCTGCTGTGCCCACATCTGGTCTCCTTCCACGGGGTTCCTCAGCTGCAGCAGCAGATGTGGCTCCACCGGGGCTGGGGCAGCGTCCCTGAGGACTGGTCTCGCTCTGCACCGACACTTGTGAGTCCTGAAAGAGCAGCATGTGCATCAGGAGGAGCAGACAGGATGGGCATAGTGCCAGGTCTATGGCTGGGGTAACTCAGCCCCACTGCAGAGCAGGAGCAAGTCGGCAGCTGAGACCAAGCTCCAGATTAGCTGCAGGTCTCGCTCAGCGCCTGCTATTGCCTCTGCCAGCATCAAGGGCAGATCGCTGGCCAACAGGCAGCTCCCGACTGGAGCAAAATGCAGGGCCCTAGCAGGAACAGGAGCATCATTGAAATGAGACTGGCAGAGACCAACTCACGGATGCCCAGCGCAGACAGGCAATGAGTGCAGGACAGGACAGGGCTGGCAGCAGGGATCTGAGCACAGCACTACTGCACAAGGGCTCAGGGAGCTGCAAGGAGCAGGCAGCCCAGTCACGGGGACAGCCCTTGTGCACGTTACCTCTGGCTGGGCCTGCGTTGCCCCTGTGGGAGCTGTGGGGCCAGGGCCTTCCAGGCTGCGGGGGGCAGGGGTCTCATCCAGGCTCAGGGTGTCGATGGCACACTCCACTTCAAAGGTCCTGTGGGGTGAGGAGGCGTCAAGGATGGCTGTGATGGGCTGGGATGTCAAGAGAAGCCCCCGGCCCTTTTGGTTTCCTCAGCGACCCCAGCTCCTGCCCCACCTCGCCGTGCAGGTAGCCCTTGGGGCTGGTGGCCGGTCACTGGGAGATGTGCATGCTCCCAACCCCTGCAGCCCAGGCCCAGGAAAGTCCTTGATGTGGCCTGGAGGCACCGGCCTCTCCATCCCTACATGCTGGGCTGTCAGGGCTTTCCCACGGGGGGCCAGGACGTGAGCTGCAGCCAGTGCCCCTGCCCTGAGCCCAGCTCACCTGTTCTCATAGGCTCCGTCCACCTCCAGGTAGTTCCTCCTCCAGCTCCTGCCGCTGGAGGGTTTGGGAGAAGCTGCAGAACAGAGGCAGACTTGTTTCTCCAGGAGCAGGTGGTGAGGACAGCTTGGCTGTCCTGCAAAGGTGATGGGGACCTCGACCCCCTGCTGCTCAGAGGCCCCAAGTGGGTGACCACATACCCAAGGTCAACTGCTCCCACCCCACGGGGCAGGCCCTCCTGGGCATGCGGTCACCCACATGGACCTGCTATAGGGCTGGGTCAGAGCAAACAGGCTATGAGCCTCGGGCCTGCTCCCCTCTATTCCCAGTCCCAGCAAGAGCAGCCCCTCCACCCTCCCCTGCTCCTCCAGCTGTGCCTCGGGCCGAGGGCTCACCAGTGCTGCTGCCCTTGGTGCGCTCCATTTTCTGCCACAAGAAGTAGACGCCCATGGAAAGGAGAATCAGAGCCAGGGATGCCGAGGCTCCCGCCACTACGGGGACTTCGTGTTTATCCAGGCCCAGGAGCCAGCTCACGCCACCTGGGGATGCCTGCCTGCACAGAGCCAGCAGTGAGAGGGGGGCACCAAGATGTGCCAGGAGCCCAAACACACCCAGGCCCATAACAGGATGGATCTCAAGCAAGCACAATCCCCTGCCTACCATCTCGGTGCAGCCACCTCTGGGGCCAGATGTGACAGCTTCTTGGGAGCTCACAGCAACGCTGCATGACCGAGAGGGCAGGAACAGCCCACAGGAGGCACGAAGCTGCCATTGTGATGTGGGGATTGCAGTACACTCTGAGCCCAGGACCTTACCTTTCTGTGGGGCGCAGCCCCCAGCCAGGGGCCTCGGTTGTGCTCTTATGTCCCCCCAGGGTTGATAAGCGCTGTATGCTGGGGGCAGTCCCGGAGGGCGGAGAAGACATCGCATGATGGGATCTGGCTGGGGTGCCCTTGATCCAGCTCCCCAGGGGAGACTTGGTGACCCTGGCCGGCACCCAAACCACACTGCCTTGAGGGGCTGAGATGCCACATTCCCGAGCATCCTGCTCCAGGACTGGCATCAGGGTGGGGACCTCTGCTGTGGGCAGGAGCCTCCTGGCAGGGGAGGAGCTCAAGGCTGGAGACAAAGAGAGAAGCGCTGCTTGACTTGATGCCAACGGGACTGTCCAGGACGCTGCAGAGCCAGAGCTCTGGGCATGCCCCAGATGAAAGACTTCACCAAGCCAGGCCAACGCACAGCTCAGCAGGGCTACCGGGAGTGCAGAGCCCTGGACAGCAGCAGCAGAGACCTAGTCTGGGGGGACCTTGGGAGGTGCTGTGAAAACCTTGCACCAGGAATCACTAGGACATGCAGGGCAGCCAGTAGTGTTTGGGTCAGAACAAGCCAGGTGCTTCAGTGCTCTGTGCCCATGGCTGGAGAACTCCAGAGGGATCAGGACTCAACAGTGATTCCTGGGGGCACCATCTTCTCCCTGGACCCACCAGCACTGGCATCCCGGCCCCAGGCCGACTGAACCCTGCAGCACCGCTGGGGCCTGCTTGGAAGATCTGGACTCGTGCTTACCTGGCTCTGCATGGCTGCAGCAGAGCTGTGGGATGCTGGAGAGAAGCATGCAGAGCACCAGGTCCTTCATGCTTCTCACCCAGTGCTCACGGCTCTGGAGAAGCTGCTCAGGTCACAGCCACCTGGGAGAAGCAGAAACAGAGGGTAGAGATGGACACAGAGGGTGGAGACCCACCCCCTGCCCTGATCCCAGCCCTGCCCCTTTCTTGGAGATGCTCCCCTCCAACATCAGACCCTGCCAGCTGGAAGAAGGGTTAGCATGCAATGGCGCTGCACCCAGATGCCATGCTACAGAGCCCTACCATCATCCCGCCCAGAGACAGGCACCACCCCAGGTCCTGGCTTTACCCTCCCCACACAGAGATGTCTCCTTTGTCAGGGAAGTGGGGCATGGGCCAAGTACTTGCACCGTCTGCAGCCAGCCGTCACCCTCAGGTCCCTGTTCAGTCTGCCCTTGGCGCAGCCTTAAAGAGCATCTAACCCTTTCTGCCTGTGTGTGGGGGAGGCTGGAGTCCATGTCCTTTCCATTCCTCCTCTATGAACCAGAGACCTGGGGGGCCATGAACCTGCTGCCGCTAGCTTCAGACCCCCACAGTGCTGCAGCATGGTCTCTAGAGAGCACAAGGAGCCCTGGGCTGAGGGACCTGCTGAGCGATGCCTCACAGAGCACGGGGCGGGAGGAGGATTACTGAGTGCACGATCAATTATTCCAATTTCTAGGAAGAAAGTGGGAGCTTAAAAGGACACAAGCAACCGACAGGGACTTGTTTCCCTGCAAACAGCTCACCAGGTTAAACTGCCAGGGCACACGAATCATTCACCTGCTGGCAGCTGGGTTTCACCCACCCCCCAACCTGCTCCCAGAAAACAAAGCCCCAACCTGGCCCTTCTCCTCCCAGCGTGGCTCCCTGCTGCCCAGGCTCTGACCCCTGTGTCCCCAGCAAGGCCCCTAGAGCCATGGCCAGGAAGCAGAAAGGATGGTTAAATGCCAGTTTCCCTTTCCCCGACTGTGCGGCTTGTTACATTTCTGCACTCTAGCAGGCTAAGGGCAGCAAACCTTGCCGGCTCAGTCTGACTTGCTCTCCCCGGTTTCACTGCCTTGCTCCTGGGCACTGGTGCCCAACTGTTTGCTTGGATTTTCAACAAAACACTGCTTTCGCTGTTTTGCAAAAAAAAAAAAAAAAAAGGCCAAACCCCCAGACAATTTAACTTTCCATCTATAGTCACTTTTTTCCCTAATAAAGTTTCTATCTGGGGCCTAAACATCCTTTAATTTCTTGTTCTTTGGAGTCCTGTCCTGCCCTCACACCTGGTGCTGGGTTTGGTGATTGTTCTGCCTTGAAGTTAGACTCTCTCTAGACCACTCTGGGGTCTCGTGTCTTTCTTTCATCCATCAGCCATTTGGGTATTTCAGTGTGGGCTTGGATCCTGATAGGCAAGTTCTGCTCCCAGAGCTCAGTCACTCCATCAGATCTGGAATAACTCAGGTGGTTTCACTGTGGTGTTACTGGGTGCAGAATTAAGCCTACCGGTAAAGGCTCCATGTTTCCTGGCTGATCTCACCCGGGATATTTTGCTTTCCCAGGAAAAGCACTCACAGCAGGCACTCAGATCTTACCTGGCAACAGTTCTCTCAAATTCCAGCGAGTGTCCTTCTGAAGGGGACAGGTCAGGCACACAGTAGAGGGCTTCAGTTTAATGCCAGCCTCTTCAAGATCTGAAGTATACAGAGAATAAAGTAGGCTGAGAAGATCCACAGCTCAGTGCAAGCCGATACTTCCCCTGCTGAAGCAAGGAGGAGGTCTAACCTTCAACTGATGTCGGGGGATTTCATGGGAGCTGGCATAAGCCTGGGCTCAGGGCCCCTCCACCTTACTCTCCAAATGTCTTGAAACATGGGGAAACTTTG